ATTTCCTATTCTTTAGTGGGTATAGGACTTAAGGCTCAATCGAAAGTGAATTGTAGGCTAGGTGACTATCTGTCTAGTTGGCATGAGCTCTCATGATCTGAAATGGTGGCCAGAATTCAAAAATCCACTGCATTCAAGAAGTACCACCTTGTTCTTTGAAATGTGTCTTTGCATGTACTCTGTTGGGTGATCCCAAAGGCTCAGTTAAGGATACCACTTACCTGTGTTTTAAAGGGCAGGGATCAGAAGTGTAGCTATATTAATTTCAAGATTCATAGCTGGTGAATGGAAAAAGGGTGGCCCAGAGTTCCTATCTTTGATATGATCTTTTTTCAGTGACTAATACTGTTGGTCCCCAGCACAATGAGACATTTCTGGCCATCCCTTGTTTTTGCCTTTGCAGTTGATTGTGGCCCTTTGGCTGGGGTTAGACATTCACAGATCTAGGTCATGTGTTAGTGCTCAGGTCAGCTTGGCTTGCAGATGTGGAGACATCTTTGTGGACGGCACACATCATGGAGTCAGCCTGGCTTATTGGAAAGTGTGTGCGGTATGGGCATGGACTGATCCAGGCTGGAATCTCTGTTAGGATGCTATCCATTAGGATCATATTTTGCAAGCTTTTCATTTTTGAATCTCTGTTTGCTGATCATTCTAGATGAGTTCCCATGAGAGTTGAAATATGTGCACAATTCTTGGCCTGTAATCATGGCCAACGAATGATTCACTTTCTCCAGTTTTCTCCTCATCCATGTTCAGCTCAGCTTCCTGTTATAAAGGAGGAATAGTCAACAGAAGGGGCAACAGAGTTGAGAAGAACCAAGAGGAAGAGACACCTGCTCCGGTCTTCTCCTTTAGTGTTTCGCAGGAAATCTTTGCAGTTCCTTGTGGTTCATTGTTAACCACTGTTGATGATTGTGAGAACTTTTTTTTCAAACTCATGAAGATCTTTTCATTCTCTAAGCAGAGGTTGAGGAAAAATTAGACCACTAATTTATTTTCAGCTCCTGATCCAAACACGGCCTTTGTTCATTCTGCTTTGTCTGCAGAAAGATCTTGCTCTTCTGGTCACATGAGGTTTAACATTTAACTATTGTTTTCTCTCCAGGGAAGGCAGAATTCCTGTGGCGGCTGGGATGTGAGTGTTGGTTATCTTATGGGCTAGAAGGAGCTTTAGAGATTGTGCAGAATAACCCTTCCATTCTGCAGGTAAAAGGAAATGTCTTTTTCAAGTTCACCCAAGGGGAACCCAGCATCAACTTTCAGTTCTCCTGAAACTTCCCCCATGGACCAAGTTCATTATAGCACCTAAGGATGAATAGAAATCCCAGTGGTGATCCTTCTGGCATCATTCCATAAATCTTCTTGGCGACTTTGTTAAAATGGGAATTGATCCCCAAGAAATTGATCCCTAAGAAATGATTTAGAAGAAGTTCAGAGGTAAAGATTTTACTTCAAGGAGTAATTTTTATGCACAAGGACTAGCTATGGGGAAGTCCATGCACGGACTTGCAGGGGGATTGTAAACCTGGAATTCAATGTAAAACTGCCTGGGAGTTTTTGGATGAGAAGTTTGGATAGATTTTAGAGTCCCCAGAGTCAGCCAGATACAACCACCCTTCAAAGGCTGCCTCAGAAACAGAGGGATGATGTTCTTGACTGTCCTTGTTTGTTTGTTTGTTTGTTCCAGGTAGGCTTATACTCTTTTCTGTGTGGTCATTGGTGGAGGAGGGGGACAGAGAAATTCCAATGACCCACTTCTTTCTCTCAAACTCGGTTGCTCAGGATCCCAGAATAGGATTGAACTTGGAAAAGTGGCCTTAGGGAAACACCCTTGCATTTCCGATTTTCCTCTTTGGATTCAAGTGCAGCGTGCAGGTGGAAGACTTTGGCCTTAGAACTTGATGAGGAAAGCTGATGTGGAAGGTTAATGTAAAATACTTGCATATTAACACATTTTGACCAAGTATTTTTGTTTCCTGCTTTACTTCAAAATCAGTATGCAATTGCTAAATTGTGTACTCGGCTTCTTATCCGTCAGTGTGGTTACAGGTGGCACAGGAGGTACAGAATACCTCAAATAGATCTCCAGGGGAAAGATGGTACCATGTATTGATACATTTAGCTTGGCCTAGGAAACAGAAAGGCAGAAAAATTGTGCGGACCAGTGGACGGTCTCTCCAGTTCTTGCTTTAGGGTGTGGACTTATACAACTTTGGAGCTGCTCAAAGTCATTTCTTGGAGAATGTAGAAGAATCTGGGGGGATCTTCTGACCTGCCCATTCATGCCCATACTGATGTCTCGGCATGTTAGTCCTGAGAGTTAGGGACCAGGATGCTGCTCCTTGGTAAAAGGAAATGTCTTGTTCCCTTCCAGGCTCATGGCTCTCCTGATGTCGTCCCAGGCGGCATAACAATACCATTTCTTCTCTGACCTACTCCTTCTTTGTTCCTCTCTCTCTCTTCCTTCTTAAGAGAATGTTTCCAGGATAACATTTACAATGCAAATGATTTGTTATTTGTGTGATGACTTAAAAAGCTTAACCCGGTATAATATGAGACCTGTACGTGTGTGTACCCTAGGGGTCTGACTTCCATATTTGCTACGATCTTCTTCCTTAGGCCAATATCTTCCCAACTTTTCTTGCTCTTTCCAAACACAACATAATATACTTTGCGAATCATCAGTCCTCAGATATTTTGGGCACCTGATCATTTTATCGATAGTGAGTAGAGCTGTGGAAAATAAGGATGAGCAAGACTTTTTAATGCAACTGTAGAAATGATGATTTCATTCCCTGTCCCCCCACCCACCACTTACTGAGTACCCACAAGGGATAGGGTACTGGGGATATGAGGAAAACCCCACAAGACTTGCCCTCAGCCCCGTGGCTGTTATGTTTACACCTGATATAACAGCTGGATTGCATAGATTAGGTGTGTCGAGTCTGAAATGTAATTAACATTTCTTATATAAAAGTTTAAAATGGAAGGAAAGGAGAGCCTGCTCACCTGCAGGTCTCCGTGAGGAACCCCAGTGCCAGGGAGGCACAGTTGAGGAACCTCTTCCTCAGGAAGGATGAGCTCCAAGGGTCTGTCAACATCAGATATGGCCTCACAAATCTATACTTTGAGTTACCCAGCCATGCCACCCCTGCCCTCCTAACTGGCATGCCATTTCCTACCCCACTGCCTGTCAGGAGTCCTGGTCTCCATTTGCTGGCTGGGCTGTGTGTCTGTCTTCATGCAGGCTTCTAGAAAGAACCAGGCATTGTGTGCGCTTTATCCCAGGTCCTGTATAAAACGCAGCTCACTTGTGAATTCCTCTTTATGATTTCGATCATAGGACATGCTAACACATGCATCAGCTCTACCATGAGAGCAATTCTTAGTGCCACAGTTGACAACAGGAACTTCACAGCCACATGCTTGCCAAGGAAATAAGATCCTTTTCATCTTGTTAAACCATGGGGGAGGGGGGATCGGGTGACATTAGGGGATGATGTGAGAAGGAGGTCAAAAGAGAGAATTGAAACATCCAAGAAGCCCCCTGGCCCAAAGCATGTGCTCTGAACACCACAACCAGGCACCTCCTTGATTGCCTGGACTCTGCCTGCTTCCCACCTGTCTCTCGGTCTCCTCTCCTTGCTGTCTCATCCTTCTCCATTCTGAACAGAGGGAGCATTTCTTTCTCAGTTCTAGGACTTTGTACCTGCCTTACCTTTGACTGTACCTCTGTTCTTTCCAGATACTCTTTGGCTAACTCCAAATTGTTCTTTATTAATTTTTATGCATATCTTTTCTTAGCAAGGTTTCTGGAACCTTCTATATAGAATAAATATGCCTCCTTAGGGTTCTCATAGCCTTTTGTTTCTACCCTTATGTAAAACTTATTCAACTCACTTAAGGCAATTTCTTATTTTTTCCCTTTGCAATTCAGTAAAGGAGACTCTGTCCTCAGTATAAAATTCAGGAAGTTCTTGTTGGGTAAGATTTTAGAAGATATCTTGGGATGTCAAGTCAGAACCCTGCTTTATAGCTGTATGATCTTAGGTAAGTTACTTAAAAATATCTCCAAATCTTCCTTATTTTAAAAATGACGATGGTGCCACCTTACTTGTAAGACTGTTGTAAAGATTAAAAGATAATAGAAATAACATACTTGATAGAAGTTATTCACAAATATTAGTGATCATTTTTGTGAAATGGGCACAACAATTTTAAAGGTAGTGTATCTCATTGTCTACAAGGAAAGAAAACAAGGTACTCAAATGTGGCCATTCTGAGAGCTAACTAAAAGTCTCATAAAATTAATTCCCACTTATTGAGTGTCTATACATAGTGTGCCTTACTAACAGTATCTCATTAATTCTCACAGTTGCCTTGCAAGATAGGAGTTAATATCATTCTATGCGTAAGAAAAATAGTCTCGAGGAGAGTATGGAAAAATTTGGAGGACTGACATTTAAGTCCATGTTTTCTAGTTTACTATTTTACAATCAGATGGCTTTTGCTACCCCTGTCCCAAGGGGCCTGTGGCAATATCTACAGGCATTTTTAATTATCACAAATTGTGAAACTAGCACGTGGGTAGAGACCAGGGAGGCTGCTAATCATCTTCCAAAATGAAGATTGGCCCTCACAATAAAATTATCCGACTCAAACTGCTAACATGCTCATGTATGGAAGTATGGTGGCCTAGGGAATGGTCATGTTCATTCAGGAACTGGGCCCTGGTGAGAATGGCTTGGCAGCTATTCAAGATGTGTTCTAGGTAGCATTGCCCAAGGACACATAGAGTACCTGAACACCCTCTGGTCTAGTTTCACTGTATCTGAGCTTCTTTTCTTTCACCCTGAAGATAACATGATATTTAAGTCATCTGCTTTTGATCACATGGAGTCATGTTAGAAGCCATTTCAGAAAGTCCTCTATACCAATAAACCCAAATAAGCTCTGTACCCTATAAAAAGTGATGGAATAAAAAAAAAACAAGACCGTTGTTTTAGTCAGCTCTTATTGCTACTGTAACTAAAAGACCTGCCAAAAGGAGGCGAAGGCCACATGAACCCCAGATATGGCATGGAAATAGCCTGAGAGGACAGAGGCAGAGCCTGGAATATGAAGTTGCAAGTCGAGGTCCCCAAGGAGGGCCTTGACCACCAGCAGCGAGGGGTGGGGCTCTACCACCACCTTGATTTTAGACTTCTGGCCTCCAGAACGGAGAAGGAATCCATTTCTATTGTTTTCAGCCTTCAGGTTTGTGGCAGGTTATTAAGGCAGTCCTAATAAACAAATGCAGTAACTCACGACTTCAACAGATCACCATCTGTCCACTCTTCCGGAAGCCCTCCATGCGTGATTCTTCCCCAAAGTGGGTTTGAGAGCAGTGAGACACCTTGAAGAACGGGCAGCCGCACCATCCTGGTAGCTACATGAGCAGCGGCCAGGCCCATATCTGCGGGCCGACCTCGATCCCGAATGTAGCGTGAACTGAGGAGTTAGTTACATCTCTTGGCCTGATGAAAGCCATTCTCACTGCCGAGGCTTCCTGGCGCCATGTCTTCCTTTGTTCCAAAGGAACCAGTGACCTGGGTCATCCTCAGGGCTTTCTATCTCCTGCAGTTGGAACAAGGGAAAATGGGGTTATGCAGACTGCATCCTCTCTGTGGGGAGGCTTGGATTACCCCAACATGGACTTCAGATAATCAAGGGAAAAAAAATAAAGTTCCATTTGCCCCAGAGAGCCGCTTTGCTTGAACAAGTGTTCCTCATTAACTAAAGCGGGGTGTGTTTTTTATTTCCCCTTTTCACCCTGAGTGGCAATTGCTTGTTCTGACTCGCAAAAAGTTCTTGGTTTCAAGAAACTGTTTTAGAGAATCGAAAGGGAATGTGTTTAAAGAATAGTGATAAATCTCCTGGCGGCAGAAGACAGATGATAAAATCTCCCAGGAGTGGTCAAGGTGGGCACGGGTTCAGACCCACTGGGGTACCAGCTCTGGGATCTGCGTGAGTTATCTACGTTCCTGAGAGCACTGATTCCTCATGGGTGGAGTTATTGTCAATTTTCAATGAAAATTTTGAAATATCCATTGTTATCCTTAAGTCAAATATTATTACCTCACCTTGGTGTCCTCCTTGCATGGAAGTATGGTGGCCCAGGGAATGGTCCTGTTCATTCAGGAACGGGGGCCCTGGTGAGAATGGCTTGGCAGCTATTCAAGATATGTTCCAGGTAGCATTGCCCAAGGACACATAGAGTACCTGAACACTCTCTGGTATGACATAGGAGGACATCTGGACTTGTTTGATGCCAGAAGATAAGAAGGAGGAGATATCCTTCTGGATTTCTCTGTACATTTCCTGCTTACCCAGGAAGGCTTCTGTGGTGTGGCTTGAGATTTTACCTTACTTGCAAGCTCACAGTTGGTGTTCCAAGGTTTTATGGATATTGGCAGAAGACACGAGACTCCTGGGTCAGAAACAAAAGACTTTATTACTTCTCAAATAGCAAGTTACATGAACTTCGCATTAGTGTCAGCTGTCCTTGCCTGTGTCCCTCAGGGCAATGCAAGGCGGTATGTATGTCACAGGTGAGGAACCAAAGACTTAGGGAACCTGAAGTTTTCATATTGAACAATAAGCATGACTTCCCATTTTTCCAAAGGAAGACACTCTTTCTTTTTAAAACTTGGGTTATTTGCTTATTTTATTAACATTATTGATGGTATATATCAATAAGGTTCTGTGTGGTGTTTCAATACATGAACCCCATGTGCTCTGACCAAATCCAGTATCCCTTTATCTACTCCCCCACCCCACAACTCCCTCATATTTGGTAATTTCTCTTCTATCTTCAGTTAACTTTTTAAACTTCCATATATGAGAAAGAACCTGTGATACCTATCTTTTTGTGCCTGGATTATTTCACTAAAGAAAATGTATTCCAGTTCCATCCATTGAGCTGCCAAGGATAAGATTTCATTCTTCCTTGTGGCTGAGAAACATTCATTTACGTATACCACATTTTCTTCATCCATTCATCAATCGATAGGCATCTAGGTTGACTCTGTAACTTAGCTATTGTGAATACCGCCACAATAAATACAGGTGTGAAATATCTCTGTAGTTTGCTGATTTCATTTCTTTTGGATGCACACCCAGACGTGGGGTAGCTGGATCACGTGATCTATTTTTAGTTCTCCGAGGAACCTCCACACCATTCTCCTTAATGGTTCTGCTAATTTACATTCCCACCCACTGTGCATGGAGTTCCTTTTGGGAGATATTATTTCTACCTTCCAAGCCTGTTTGTCATACACCCTTAAAGACAGAGTGCACACCAAAGGCAGCCCATGCCCTGCTCTTGAGATGTGCAGTAGCGGGTAAGACTCACGGAAAATCCTCTCCAGGGTGCTATTGATTTCTGTTTGTTGTTAAAATTATAGAGGACTAGGAGTAGTTTAGAAAACATCCCATGCCACTCTTCTCTCTTCCCCTTTTTGCAACTCCCTTCTTGCTTTTAATTGAGAGATAGGACTGAGGTGGAAAGAACACAGCCCTTGGAACTTGGTGTACCTGGGGTTGCTCATAGTGCAACCTTGATCTGCTTCTGATTCATGATGAAATCTTGGAAAAGTGACTTAGCATCCCCGAGTCTCAAGTTTTTCTGTCTATGAAATGGGGATAGGAATGTCTGCCTCACATTGTGAAAATAAGTTTGGCGCACAATACATGGTTAAAGAATAGTGCCTCTGTTTATAATGGTCATGTGATTGTGTTCTTGCATGGGTGAGTCAAGAGTGGAGCATGGATGTTATTTTGAGTGTCCACGTCTCCATAGAAAGCGTACCAGAAGAGAGGCTAGCCTGGGGATGAGAGACGAATTTTGAGCAAAGCTGCTCAAACAGAGACTTGCTTTTCTCAAGCTTCCCTCCGGATTTCTTGAGGAAGGAGGGTCCCATTTGATCCCGGTGGTGGCTCATGAGCAGGTCATCTTCTGCTAAGCATTTTCTTTGACTTTTATATGGAACTCATGTCCTGTGACCCACATACATGCCTTCAGGCTTTCCATTTTTGCCTCTGTTAATGCAGACAAGCTATAGTTCCCTGTCCACACCTCCCCCACCTCCTTCCCAGCAAGCCTTTGGCTTTCTTCCCTCCCAATGGTCCTTGACCAGTCAGTCTCTGGGGGAGTGAAGTCGGACTTACTCTTCCATGCTCAGTTTTCAGAATACAGGTGGCTGAGTTCTTCCCAGAGCCTCACTTCTGCTTTGCTAATTTCTAGTACTTTTGGTTTCTCAGGCACAGAGAACAAACCCTAATCCTGACTCCTGTAGGGGTCCAGAGTGAGGAAGAGATGGAAGGATGAGGATTACCAGGTCTCTTACTCCACATGAGTTCTAACAAGGAGAGGACCTGTATCGGATCTGTTTCCTTAGGTTTCTTAGCTACTATCCAGGTCGGTGGCTGCACTTGGAGAAAATGATGCCGCTTTTTTGCTGAAATCTCTTTTCTAACATTTAGCTGTTAGTTCTGGAGTGTCAGGTTTCCTTTTATGATGACTTCTGAGTACTTGCAGTGATGAAGAAAGAAAAGGTCAGTTCATTCAAGCAAAATAATCATTTATCTTGAATATATATACACCATCTATCCATTTTCATATCTGTCCAATCATACTCCATCTACTTACCCATCGACCTCTCTGTCCCTCCATTCATCCTCTATTTATATTAGCTATCTTATCCTGTTTTCTGTTGCTGTAACAAAATGCTTGAGGCTGTTTGCTTTATAAATAAAAGATGTTTATTTAATTCACAGTTTGGGATGTCAAAGAGCATGATGCCAGCATCCTAGAGAGAGTTTCTGATCGTGCTATAGCATGGTGGAGAAGCAGAAAGAGAACCAGATGCATGCAGAAAAGCATGAAATAGCCTCACTGTATAACAACCCACCTTACCAGAATTTATTCACTCCAGGAGGCCAGCATTAATCCCTTTTAAGGGCAATGCCCCCATGACCTAATATCTCCCTTGGGTCCTTAAAGGCTTCACGACCTTTACACCACACTGGGACCAAATTCCCAGCACATGAATCTTTGGTGGACTCAGGTAAACCACATCCAAACCATTGTTCATTTGTTCTGTCTGTCTGTCTGTCTATCTATCTATCTATCTATCCATCCATGAACCATGTCATCTCTGTATTAAACATTCTGTTTTAGATGATCTAAATGGTTTTGATTAAAATGGTGGCATTGAGGATGAAAGTCTTTATATTCTGTTGGCTTGTTTGCTTTTCTTTCTGAAGAGGCCCATCTGTGTGGTCCAAAGTTTTATGGACATTAATTAATTTCCAGATTCTAAAACCTTCTGGAATTTGTGGCGCTCCCTGCTCTGCCACACATGTATCTGTTCTGTGGGCTTCAGAGCAGCACTGACAAACCTTCATTTTCTGGCCATCCAGGGTTTAGAGTTAGGATATTATTAAAAGTCTCATCCAGAACGTTTTATGAACTATTTTTAGTTCTCTGAGCTGAGCTCTTTTTTTTCCCCCTGGGTACTGGGGATGGAACTCAGGGGTACTCTACCCCTGAGCCACATCCCCAACCCTATTTTGTATTTTTGTTTAGAGGCAGGGTCTCATTGAGTAGTTTAGTGCGTCAATTTTGCTTGGGCTGGTTTTGAACTGGCGATCCTCCTGCCTCAGCCTCTGGAGCCGCTGGGATTATGGGTGTGCACCATGTCCAGCAAAGCTGAGCCTTTCTACCCAAAGAAATAGTTTATTTATTTATTTTTGTTGTTTAAGAAAAACATCCAGAGTAGCTTTGAGGCCAAGGTGTTTCTCTACTCTATTCTTGTTAATGAATGCAGGAGACGTGAGGATAGAGTCCAACTGCCATGTTCTCACGAGGAGGAAATGCCAAGAAAGGGAAGCAGGTGCTGGATGAGAGAGAGAGAGCTTCAGCAATACAGAGGGGATCCACTGCAAGAGGATGAACAGGAAAACCAGAGGCCATGGCAGAGACCCGGAGGGTCCATGGCTTTGTCAAACAATGCCAGGCAGTGGGTTCTGGGACACAGGGCATGGCTGAAACTTGACTGCTGGGCAGAGTGGACGAGCAGCTATTGGACTTCAGCTTCCTTCAGTCTTCTCTTCAGTGGATGCAGAATGGTCCTAGGTCTGGGTGGACTCAAGCGGCCTCCATTACAGAGGAGTGTGAGGATCAGAGACACCTTTAGGGTCTGTCCTGAGGCTCTGCAAGACTGTGAACTACGTACATGTGCTCATTCTTCTTCTCTGGACCATAAGAAACGGAATTTTTTTTTTTTTGCCACAAATATAGAAACAATATGACTTGTTGATGACTCATCCAAGCGATTTATTTCTATAAAAATTTCCATGTGAAAAATTGAGGAGTGTTTGTTTAGGCGTTTTCTCTAATCCTGTGTGATGGACAGCCACAGTGACACTTGCTGAATGGATGAAGGAATGAGTAATAGAGGAGAAGCTGTCACAAGAATTGATCTTCAGTCTGACACTCCTTCATCATCTGGGTTGTCTTCTTGGGAAGAGAGACAGTCCCCTCTTTTCTCTTTAGTGATCTAGGGTCCTTGATTCGACTTTCCACCCGTCTCCCATCCTTCCTCCCACTCCTTCTTACTGAAACTTGTCCTCAAAAAAGGTACAGTTATCGGTCACTTGTGTCTTGATGTGATTGCAAGTGACTGATTCTGCAGCGTCAGGTGCACTGAGTTCCTTTCTCGCCGGGAAACAAAAGGCTTTATTCCTGAGCATGGAGGGAGACAGGATGGGAAGGGGTGACCTCCGACCTACAGTCAGAGAGGAACTGAGGCCTCTTCCTGTTTTCCCTAAAATTTACACCTTCTCTGTCTGCCTCTAGCTACTTCTTTGAATCTGAGTTTTCTCATTTGTGATATGTACCAGTGACCTCAACCTCAGAGGGCTTTAGGGAATAAAATGGGAAAACAAATGTGTCTGTAGAAAAAGTGCCTGGTATAGTTCTGGGCATCACCAAGCACTCAAGAATGTGGCTCCTGTTCATGTTCTTTCATTATCACTGTTAATGTCATGGACAGGATTAAAAAGACATCACACAATGTCCAAAAATATTGTGTATTATTTTGAAGGCACGCCTTTGCTACAGTGAAAGGTACCGGAGATGGCATATAAAACATCACATGTAAGATCGTGTGTTAAAGATCACAGAGATCCTTGGTCACAGGTGACGGAGTGAGGCCGTGGCAGCCTGCGTGTCCTGTGCTGAGCAAGCGATCCCAACCTGACAGTGAAGCGCACATTCTGAGACTCTGCCTTCCACAGGAGAAGCCAGGATTCTCCTCCTTGATTTCACGTTGAAACTTAGGTCCCTTTGAAGATGGATGTGCCCAATTCAGATTGGGGTTCAAAGACGAGAGTAAACTCTGAAGAGTCAAGGGGGGGTGGCTAGGTTTTTAATTTTTGGGCGGGTAGATTGGAACTTCTCACCAAATACGGGATGGTCGAGTACCGCCAATGTTCCCGTGAGATTCAGGCAGCTGGGGGTTCAGGGGCACGGACAGGAGCCGAAGGGAAAGATCCAG